GACCAAAGCGCCACGCAACGCTTGGGTATATAGATACAACATCTGCCTGTGGTGTCGTCAGCGGCCTGTGCAATATAACTTACGAGCTCGCCAAAGCGTCTTGGATCGCTCGACGATTAATCTTGGTGATGTGCATATGTCGAAAATTAGTCCGCGATTATATTCCCTGCGAATCATGCACATCACGAAACAAAGTAATAGCACGAAATGCAAAAGCGACTTTTTTGCGCAGAATTGCGAAACGTTGTGAATGGAGGATAACAGGCGTAATATGCGCAGCGAAGAGAGCGAGACGGTGAAAGACAATTTCGAAAGACACGTTGACTCGAAGTGTGAAGAGAATAAAGACGTGGCACACACACACATACACGTATACGTTCACTCGTCGTGTGCATGTATAGAAACAATTGAGAAGTCTTGCAGCACGCAGTCGACGACGAGCTTGTGTACATGTGTGGATGCGCATTGTAACGGCAAAACTTTGCCGGAGAGAGCTCCGAGCGACAATCTCTTTCTGTTAAAAACTTTTTGAAATTGTCGCTCTCTGGCTTTTCTTCTTCTGCGTGTGCGCATAGAAATCACGCATGAAGCCCGCACAATGAGCGCTTGGAGCTCTTTTTCTCTCTTTCTCTTTCTGAAAATACGCAACTGTTTTTAATGCGCAGCGATAAATTTATAATTGAAAAAATACCAATAAAATCGATGCGTACATAAAAGGAACAAGCTTCGAGCGTATATATGTATAGATATGGGCGAGTGGAAATGAGTATACGCATACAACATAATAGATCGCTGCCTGGGCGCCCTGAAATGAAAAACAAAGAGCCTCCGTATAACTTAGGGGGGGAAAGCCGAGTTTTCTTTTATAATACATTCATGATTCAGGCAGCGCGTTATTTTGCACCTGTACAAACCGTCGAGGAAAGAAGGTCGAGAAAAAATTCAATTTCGATATTAATAAGACACAAGAAAAGAACTCGTACATAGTGCAATGTGCAACGTGCACCTGTATGCACACACAAACATAGACCCACACTTACATAGGTGCGAGCTCAAAGAAGCGCAGCAACTGATAACTTCAATAGGAAGAAAAAAGAGCTGTCCCGGAACGAGTATATAGTACCCCGAGTACATATATATAGAGAGAGAGAGAGAGAGAAAGAGAGAAAAAGAGACGAATACAGGCTGCAGTAGCGGGAGCAAAAGCCAGAGCGTATATACGTGTCAGTTGGCCAACGTAAAGTCGATACTCGACTTTCTGCATGCTATATATATGTATGGCAGTTACATACATGCAGCCCGCAATGAGGATACTTTACAATCGAACATTCGATCTTTGCGCTTATTTCGACTATTGGGTATTTAAAAAAATCCCCTCGCTAATAGCAGAAAAATCTGCGATATTTCATCTCGTTCATACAAAGCCGCATGCGACAAAACAACAATTTGTTGGAAAACTTTACTTTGGCTTATATTCTTTTTCCTTGAAAATAAAAACTTTTCATTATGTTTTTCGTGGCGGTTGACAGTGACCACGCAAAAGCAACCCCCGCCGTTGGCGTGTCATCTTTTTTGTATAAGTCATCCCCTCTCCTTTTCATCTCTATTTTTCATCCCTCGCATATGGTTTTAGACCTCTGTGTACATATGCGCGCACATAACAACAAGAGCCTGGGCCACTAGATAACAGTAATATACTCTGACTCTTTTCTTTTTACATGCCGCGCGTAGCTCGTGCGCGAGCCCGTGTTTTACTTGTCGCTGGCGTTATATACACGCTGACCCGCAACGACACTATACATACTAATAAAAGTCACCCTACGTCTTGAGCATAACAATGAACTTTCGAGCATGAAACTGTAGCAGCATAGCTAAGTATACCACTGCAGGTAGTGTCCATTTAATGACGAATACTTCTTTGACTGTTTTCAGCGGATCAAAGCGACAAATAATTAAGTAATTGTCAAGACGCCCGACGAAATTGCATATCTGTGGATGCGCGCGCGCGCAGCAATAGGCGCATTCAAGCTTTCAACAAGTCCACAATGGATCGCACGCGACACCCTTCAAAAAGTTTCAAGTGTCATGAATGGTACAACACAATGTCTCACATTCGCCCAACAGAGAGACGGAGAGAGGGAGAATTGGTGACCACAAGTATCTTCATTGTTTCGTGCGCGAGCTCGTAGAAACTATAGACTCCCTCGCGCATAGACACGGGGTGTTGCAGCAGCGGCGAATACACGCAGGCGCACCCAGAGAGAGAGAGAGAGAGAGAGAGAGAGAGCAAGAGAAGAGAACTAAACTCGTTGTCTCCTGACAAAGGAGCGTAGAACTCGCGGATTAGTGATGCAGACCGGCCGCAGGGCCCACGCCGAGGCATCCAACTTGCCACGTAACTCGATACTAAGGAATTCAATAGTTTGACTCGCTCGATTCGGTCAGCTGTGGCTAGGGTTAATTATTTATAAATACGTCCTTTAGCGTGTCGGACGCTGCGGCCAGCTGGCGCGCTCAAGACGTTCGCCTTATCATAGAGAACGCAGCACGTGGGGGCCAGCCGCGACAACGAATTTTATTGGGCTAATAAATAATTGCGCTCGTGCACCAGACGCAGACGCATTAATCAATCATAAAATGGAAAGTTAGATTAAACGAATTTTACTTATCACCATAAATCGAATTTCATGTAGATGTGTACACACGTGCGCGAGCGGCATATCGCTGAGGCGCGGATATTCGCGCATCTATGAAACATTGATTGATCGATTTCCTGGGAAATCGTACGCGCAGAGGAGTTATCCCCACAAATCACATTTTTTACCCCCCTTTCTTTCCCTGTCTTTCCTGCTCACTTTAGACGAAAGTAAATGAATCATACTAGAATAAAATGTAAATGTAATTGCCCGTGCATATATAGATGTCATTCGAATTTTTTCCTATATACATGCCGAAATATCAAACAACGCGAGCGTGACCGCGTAGCAGTACAAAAGCAAAAATAATCGAATCGAAAACATTTGACAGACTTATGAAGCTGGCGTGCATTTTACGAGTCTTCGAATCGCTTGATTTATTTTTGCTGTTCGATTTTCAAGAAGCTTAGAATCGCTCCTTAGCTCGACCGATGACGGATAGCAAATATTTCGCTAAAGTCAGCCCTCAATGATGATGCTTGCGGTAGAAGCTGCGGTGTCTATTTAATAGTTGATATAGACTTACATCACCGCAAATACACACACAGAGACACACACGTGCGCCCATATACTCGCGCGCACATGCATCGACGAACTAGTAAGTGCTTTTGCGCCGGCAGGCGTGTATATAGCGCGTCATAAAAGTCATAGGTAACCGCGGGCCATTCGAGCGACGTTATTACGTGACCTATTCAGAGCAACTCCTCCCAAAGATCCGATCGATTGTGTATCAAACAGCTGCAGAGAAGAGAGAGAGAGCAAATATGCGTGTCAGTATAATATACTGGTAGTGCGCTCTACTCTCTGCTTTTATCTTCCGATCGTGATATTTTTCAACTCTTCATAAATTTCCGCCTCGCGGGTAAACTTTTAATTTTCGCATTCTCCAAGTAGACTAAGTAGAAGTTGGGTCTACACATAGATATCATTCGAGAGAGAGAGAGAGAGAGAGGGAGTAGTATAGATCGAGAATAATTGTGTTAAGTACCTGATGAAGCAGCTTTTGAATACTAACTATACCCCGCGCGCTCCGTACTATACCTACCTACGCCGAGTGTCTGTGCTTCGAACTTAGTATTACTCGCTGGCGATATCAAATTACCCGAGTTTTGCGTTAAGTACATCACACTTGAGGAGTAGCATAATAATATACGACGAGTGAGATGCCTTTAAACTCCTTCCCGCTGTATAAGGTGCAGCTAATCGTATCAGGTAATACAAAGTCATATCTCAGTTTGCCGAGCTAAGCATTTACATGGCTATATGTATACACAGCCAAAGCCTGCACATTATTAGCACCCTTACAACTTCTGGAATTTCCGCGCTCGTGTAGCTCTCTGTGTAAATCCCGTTGGATTTGTACTGCAAGAATCTTGGTTGCATCAAAAAAGATACAGAGACGAGTAAAAAAAGCAAGAGCGAGAGCAAGCAAAAAAAAAACGAGTTCACGAAAAGGAAAACTGGAGCTTCTAAATAGCGTCTTAAAACTCAAAAGCAGAGCAGAAAACAGCTATAGGTCTTTACTTCATATGGTCGTTGTCGCCTCCTCCACTGAACCTTTAATCAGTGGCGCAGCCGCCTTAACGACCGCGCGCGCGGATATGCCGTGGCTCTTCCGGTGGTTGTGGGTACACAAGGCTATACATACACAAAACTACTCGACGCCGCGCTACGGGATAATTAACCCCGTCTGAGTTCAACCATTCGCTTTCTCTCTCTCTCTCCCTCTTGCCTTTTGAAGATTACGGACGGTCAGATACGAAGCGTGCCCGCGGAAATCCGCACGCTTTCTATTGTGTGTTTATAAATGCACTGTGCACACATTCGTGCCACGTATAAATTTTGTTAACCACGTCTACAATATCTCGAGTCGTTTTGATACGTTTTGAAGTACACTCTGTCGTGTATTAAAGCTTTCTTCGTTTTTTTTTTTTCTGTAACTTGCATTTTTTTATTTTACGCCACACACGTCATTTGAAATCGACGATCTTACTCTACTTCAAGCCCTAGAGATTTTCACTCTTGAGGTAAACTAACAAAGTTGGAGATGACTATACGATCTTTTGTTTGAATTTGTTCGAGTTCAATCTACTGACCTATAGGGGAGTTTTCAGCGATCCACTGATGAATATTGTCAAGGGTACTTCTAACTTCTTCACCCTTCCTTCTTTATGTACATAAGTTCTAGCGTATATCTATAGCAGATTTGACTTAACAATTATACAAGCTCGATGTTAGAAAGGGTGGAATACCTTTTCCTCAAAAATTGTAAAAAGAATGAGAAAAAAAATACAATTCACTTACCAAATGAGAGCAAACTCGTTTGATCTTGCTAAGATGTTTGAACAAGAGATTGAATGGAAAGTTTTTTCAATCAAGTTAGCCATTCCAAGAAAAAATGTAGAACCAATTCACCCTGCAAACTGCATGAATTTGATTGAATCAGACCAATCAATCTGATAATATTAAGAATGAATTTTACTTAGACTATAAATGTATTTCGAGGGAAAATATTTTCTATTTATGTATTACTTATTATTAATAAATTATTATTATTTTAAATTATTACTTGTATTATTTATTGCTAGCAAATTAAAATTTAAGGCTTAAAATTTAAATTTTAAAGAAAAACTATCGACGAAGTGTATTAAGCAAAACATAATGCTGTAATATTTAAAAATACGAACGAAAAATTACGAATACGGCTCGGTGAACAATAAAAAAGATAAAGCACAATTTTATTTTCGAAATATTCGTCTATTGAAAGTATATTAAATATAAACTTCTAATTAGCTTTCTGCGCTGCATGGTCATACATCATGTAATTCATTCAGCTAGTTGTAGAAAACTTTGCAGTGGCAGAACTATGCGCTTAACACGATAGAGAGCTACGTGTATGTATGTGTATTTTAGTTGTAAAGACTTTAAAACAGTTTGTCAAAGCTCTTACTGTTGCTACTATATACTCTTACAAGAATATTTCTCTTTACATACATGCGTGAGGGCATGTGCAGTTTGCAAAGTTTAGCTCTTAAAGTTGTCAAGTATTCAACGTGTTATATAAATCCTCGCAGGCGCGTGTCCGTATCAGCGTAGCGTGAATTTTCCAATGAGGCTTGAAATTTTGCGAAATTTAATAAACTGGCAAAGGAAATATTATTAATTTGGATTTGATTAATCGTAATAATTATGAAAGCAAACACAGTAATTGAAAGGCGTAAAATTTGTCCCCCTTTTGACCGATCCCAATATGTATGCTCTGCAAGCATGTATATGAACCATCTGCACGCTTCACCAAGCACAATCGAACTCTGTCTGTCTGTATTCCTTCTGTGCGTATAACGTGAACGTATGTCAGCAAATAGTCTTCAAAACATGGCAACCCCATTAACCGGCGCGATGGGCGCAAACAAAACTCGTTGACCAGTTCGTGTCGTTCATATGCTGAGAAAAAGCACAGCAGCCTCGGCCATTTGTGGATGAAAAGCCACGTTTACATCGGAGAACATGAAATATGCGTATCAATGTTAGGATGGTCTGTGGGCAAGTGTGCAACGCATACAACACAAATTTGCGTCAACAATCTATATAACCACCACTGTAGCTCAAAGGCCAACATCATCGGGAAATAATGCAAATTAAATCTCTTATTTATTATTCATACGCACGGATGTTACGATTTTCGACAAATTTTTTTTCGAAATCATATCTTTTCTTGGTAGAAATATATACACCAAACGCTCTTTTTGATACCAATTCTCGTTTCTTATCTTTTCATCCCTCTCTTTCTCTTCCTCGTGTTTCAGCGAGTCAGTGCGTACAAAATACAAAAAAAGCTCACCGCGCAAATCCAAACTGGCTTGATTCCAAATCGCTTTCACTTTGCACTGAACTTTCATAAATCCTGCGAACCTTTCGAAAATACTTTCTCGGGGTGCGACGTAATGATTCTGCGAAAATGGCGCTAAAAATTTCGTTCTGAATTAAGGCATTTTTTTCGTATCTTCATACTAAAATTGTTATATCAACGATAGTATGAAACTTTTTACATCAGAAGAATAAGCTTATATTATAAATAACTAATAATATTATAAATAACTAATAACATTATAAATCTTTGTATAGACTATATTGTTAAAGTATTTTATCTCCATTGTGCGTAACCGTTAAAAGGTAAAGGTGTCGATTTTTTATCCAGAAAACTCGCCTATGTAACGGATATTTTTCGGAATCTACTTTTTTAGTTTGATACCAAAAACAACAGAGTTGGGTTCGATACATTTTTTTGTAATTGTAATACTTTTCTAGTTTCACCAAAGTTTTTACAAATAATATGCTGGAAAAGTTTCTGTTTCAAAAATTTCTCAAAATCCTTACATTTTGAGCAGATTGTGGCATTATTCTACTCGAAGAAAAAAATTAAATTTTCAAGAACTGAATGACTAATCACAAAAGATTTAAAATGAGAATAGAACAATAAGAAATTCGAACTCGATAGTTGCTATGCAGTGACTAAATTTGATAAAATTTCATTGAAGCCTTAAATTTTAATTAAAAGAGAAAAAAATTAATTAAAAATTAATAAAAAAGTATAATAATGCATTAAAAATAATGAAACATTCAGTAATAAATTTTATCGTCAAAGGGTTCAAAAGTATTTCAGTGTGCTAGTATGAGAATGTTTTTGATGTCAATATTTCTGCAAATAATTTTTTTTTATTGTAACGTCGTGCTATGAAAATATTTCACAGAAACTGTTAATATCATTATCTCATCAGCTCACCACAATTCTTTCCAAACCATTTTAAGATAAAAGTAGGTGGGCAAAAAAAACCTCTTTCAAAATGGTTATAAATTTTATTTAACGGCATGCATATGGTAAGATAATAGATCTCATGCTTAGGTTGATATTGTTACTGTGACAATGGTCCATCGAACGAGATAAAACCTGATAGAACTAAATCGACCCATCTGATGACTTGAAATTCTACTTAAGGCAGCTTAAATGTATAAAATGTTCAGCATTGATGGTCTATGGAATTATAACTATGTGCTTAACTTTTACATAGGTAGCTAACTGGACATAGTACTTTCAAATAGGAGATTGCAATAGACCACCACGCCAGTTCTTAAAAAAAAATTTATTTCGACTCTTACAGCCTAATCCTGTAAATATAAAAATTGAAAGAAATCTCAAGTCCTATTTAAGCCTTCAAGTCAAGTGCACATTTGCTTACACAATGGATTAAAAATAATTTTCACTGTCGCCATTCTGCCAACACTCTATAATTTATTTTTAATTATAAGACATTTTCGAGAGACCTAGAAGAACTTCTAAAAATTTTCTACAACTGTTACTATACCTTTCTAAAGCTTAAAATTAGTATTTTTAGGTTTAAGAGGCAAAAGTTGAAACTACGCTATGCACTTTTGACCAGGGACTAAAGAAAAGTGTTATTCCTTTAAAACTTTAAATACTAGGTTTTGTCAGAAATGCGATTACGCTTTTTGCGTGAGTCATTTGCCGCTTTATTTGAATACATTCGTATTAAATTTTCATTAAACTTGATGCATGATTTACGTAATCCTAAAATTAATTCTCACGATAACTGATGGGGTTATTAAGAAGCGTTAATCAGCATTATCCTTATCTGTGAATTATAAGCATTCGTGAATCGCCGTTGAAATAGAAAAATCCCTTCGTAATTATTACATTATATTTGAAAAGCTGCATGGTAGTACCGATTAAATTTGATGGCTTTGCTGAAGTCCACTCATAAGTCTACAAATTTATGGTGATAGCATCACACTCTAGGCACAAAATCGCTTTTCTAGTTCAGTCAGCAAAAACGCGTGGTTGGTGCCTGGTCCAACACTCTACTTGAAACATCAGATAAATCTGGCTTGCTATAACGACCTGTAGTTAATAAATTGATGACCTAAAAATTTATGCAGAAGGCGAAGAGAGCCAAATTCATCAATATCAAAGTTGTAATCTTTATGGTATACATACATTTATAGCTGTATGCGCGGAAAAAATAAGTGTTACAAAGAGCTTTGAAAGTCTCTAAATATAAGACCTCCCTTGAATTTTCCTTTTTTCATTTTTGAAAAACTGAGTTTTACTTCATTTCATTTTTAATTTAAAACAACCATTGCGTCGATTGACCGAACTTCGTATAATCACTCATAATCTGTTATAACGTTCGCAATTAAGAAATTCAACCAGGCCATGCATTACTAAAACCCAACTGTGCAAAGTCACTGTCTCTTTGTATAATATCGGCAAATAGTATCCGAAGATATCATCTATATAGGTACTGAGTGCAGGTCAGAGACGTCTTTGGCTCTCCAGCAAGCTCGGCACTACAGGACTAATCACTGGTACTTCAAGGCGTGGTTTGCTTCGATAATGGACAACAGTCCTTGCACTCGCTTTAATGGGATGTTATGCATTATAGATAAATTGATGAGTTGATGCTAGTGTGAATAAACTTGTCACTTGCTGTTCGCACTTAATTATACTAATGGCCGTTGCAGAAACTTATAATAAGCGTACTACTCTCCACGACGCTATGAAACCGTGAACATTCGAGCTGTTCCATTATTTTATTTTAATTTTACGGAATTTTACTCTAATAAATAAATAAGAAACGCTATACTATTTTATTATCAATTTTTTTCGAAATGATAAACATGTGGCGATTGCAAAAGCGTGTCAGCTCGTAGATAAATATAACGCTACAATCAGTCTTAATGATAAGACTATATCGATGACGATAATCTATCTTGCCTCGCTACAGTGTCATTGACAATTCATTACATTATCATCATCCCTACTCACATTCTACTCTACTGTTGGTTCTCTCTTTTAAATAAAATAATAAATTCGTTGCAATAATTAATCCTGCAGCAGCCCTGCGCTCGCGCCCGCTTTATCTTCGCTCGCTCTTTTTTACTCTCGGCGTCATCGCATTAATCTCTTTCAAGTAAAAAATGAACTCGTTAATGCCATCGCCTCCTTTCTTTTTAATCGCAATTAACGCTCGATTCGGCGGAACATATATTTTTTTCCAGCTCTGCGCGGCGATGAATCGGATACCTAAGATATCTTTTCTCTCGCATATCTTATAGACGTTTGTAAAAACTGGTTCCAAATGCAAATGCAAAAAAAAAAACGAACGAACGAAAATTACTGCAAACGGCCGAGGCATAATTAGGAGCAATTTGCACACCGACTGGAAGGTATATAGAGAAGTACCATGTACATATAGACATATAAGGAAGCAGCAGTTTACATTTAAGTAGAGTGTGCGTGATGCGCTGCAAGCGGCAGCGGGAGCGGCATGGCCTCAGAAGCGATTATAAGTTCGAGGCAAAGGCGCTAGTATGAGTTCTTTTTACAGATGGACTGAGAAAAAGA